CCCCAAAACCCCAAAACCCCAAGCAGCAAAAATAATGGTATTAAATTAATAATAAATTTAAAATATCGTTAATAAATTAAATGTTGATAAGTTGATTTAATCTTAAAATCATGACATTGAAGACTTCTTAGAGCTTTTGGAACCTTTATTTGTTGTACCGAATATTTTCTGAAGCTCTTACTATTCTTTTTATTTTCTCTAGCGAGAATCTTTTCTTATCTTTATTTTGTCGAACTCATCCATAGATTAGAGTTTTGACGAAATTACGCGCTTCCGCTAATTACTCTCAAACATTAGAGGAGATTGGACTTGACCTGATCTTTTGGGGCTTATATTTGTTTCAATTTAAGCCTTTGATTTTATTGTATCATTGAGTTAATAAATATCTTACAACTACTGCATTAGTTGCCTCTCTTTTCTTTTTGGCCTATTTTTAATGTATAATTCATGGAGACTTTGCTTAATTTACTATTGTCTAATATTTTCGAGATATCTGTTTGAGATCTAATCAATAGCATTTTCCTCATTTACAATAACTCAATTTTAACTTTATTATAGAGCTATTTGTTGGTTTTGACTTAATATTACTTTCATTAAAACTTCATATTTCCTTAATGATTTCACTAACTTGATTATATCTAGTTCTTGCTAGAAAAATATTTGTGCTTTTTTGTAAACTAGGTTTTATCTTCTTCTCTTAAGACATGCATTAGAGAATAAATCAAATATCAAACTTAACTACAAACACCTAGGTCTATAAACTGGAGTAAGATTTTAAAGAGTTTCAAGAAATTACCTAATTTGCATCATGAAATTATTATTTGAAACTAAATTACCCAATTCTATCTAAGATGAAGACTAATCTTTGGAGCTGGGAGGTGGGGAATTCATAGAATCAGATTAGTTAAGTATTTAGTTATTAGATAGGCCCCCGATTTTAATTTTCCTATTTAATGTCTGCTACTTTGTCAAATATAACTACGATATCAAAGCTTCCTCATAAGTTCCAAATTTAATTAATCTTGAAAGAATCATGAATATTAAAGAAATCACTCCAGCAAATCCTCCAGTTTTTGATAGAGCATCTAGTAATGAAAATCTTAGTCTCTCTTATATTTTAACATAAGGATCAACCAAATGAAATACACTTATTAAAGGCCAACCATTAGGTAGGTAAGCTGATCCAAGTTTTTTGTCATTTGGAAGGTATTTAAACTGCATATTCTCATTTTACTATTCATAATAATTATAGTATTCAATCTCTTACTGATTCATCGAATTCGAAAGCAAATAATCCTTTAATGTTACTCTAGTTTTAGTAATCTTATAAAAGTATGCAGTAGATATGCCTGTGTTTAAGTTGAAAGGAGTCTCGAACAAAGTAGATTTGACTGGATTTGACGTAAAATCATTTTAGTCAAATTATAATTATTTGTTATGATGGTAGAGTATACTAAAAGGAATGACTTAATCTATTTCCTGGATTGATTTACAAATTCTTCCTTTTCCGGGACTTTACAAGTCTAGAAAAGTCTGGTTACAATAATCAACAATAAGAACTAATGACTTTTAAATTTTTGAGCCAAAATCCCCTTAAACAAAAAAATCAGTTGTGATTGGGCACATATAGTAATCATAAATTCCCCTGTAATGGGCCGCTGCACCTAAGGTACCAAATCTGCCCTCTTTACATTCTTCAAAATGATACTCTTAAAATAAAGTATAGTTACTTATTCCGTGCTTGCTTTTTCCATCTCTTTAAAGTATTTGAAAATATATGGAAAAATATAGGTCTATGTTTTCGGCGACTGACTCATCAGGACCCGTGTATATGACTTAGGTTGCCATATCCATTGAGTCTTTAACATTATATATGACATCATCTCTCAGTAGATCATTTAATTGCGAAGAAGAAGTCAGTGTGTATTGATAAGAAAGCACATCATTTATTGAGTAAATAAAGTATGAGACTATGACAAGCATTGATAATATTGTCAATATCCCTCCTGAAATAGTTTTATATTAGCTGTGATTGTTTATAGTAAAAGTTACTGGAGTACCGAATCGATCTATAGACCGAAGGATTTCCCAGAATAAGCTTTGTTTTCTTTATTGCATTCTTAAATAATTATTCAAGCAGGTAAGCAGGATATTATGAGGAAGATATAAAGTAAATTTTGATATTTCAATAATAATATTTAATTTTTAAGAAGCCTTTCCTATTAATAATATTTAATCTAAGTATTGAAGCACGGTTCTCAATTCACCTAAGAAATACTATGAATTATCATGGGGTTTTGGGGTTTTGGGG